TGGCGTACTTAGTGGCAGTATATGATCACTATTAGTACTGATTTGCCGGAGCGATGTTTGTGGACATTGGCAATGGTGCTTAGTCCAACCGGTGTTACAGTCACAGATAATCTTATTAACGCAATTCTGAAAGTTCATTGTTGCTTCTTCGAGGGTTGCACATTCGACCGGTACCACGAACTGGTCCGGTAAGATCATGGAATCTATTTTGTGATATAGCGAACCTCTTACCAAGCAAAGATCGTTAGTTGTGATATAGCGAACCTCTTACCAAGCAAAGATAACGTTTGTTTCTGCACTGACGCAGCTGTGACGTTGAAAGTGTAGAACTTTGAAGTGAGGTACGGCTCTAAGAAAAGACTTCCTTTTTGGGTCTTTCCGAACAGAGTTGTTTCCAACTCAACCTGCACGCTAGGTACCCAGTCTCTGCATTCTATTATTTCAAATACTTGCTTCCGAATGGGTACATGGGCAACCCTTGTAAAAGGTGCATGAAGGCGAAGGTAGAGCGCATCCGCAGCCTAAGCCCCCGCATGTGTATTGACATCCCGAGTACCCTGGGTACTTTCTTGCTCTTGACAGCTCAGATACCGTCTGGTTAGGGCGCATAAGATCGCACACATTTCCATGACATGACCCCATCTGTGCACATCTAACTCTAGAGTAAATTCTGAGTTCAGTGCTTTTAGAGAAGAATTTCGAAACTTTCGAACATGTCAGGATTACTGCAGTGTTTCTCATTTTCAGAAACCCAACTGTTTTATTTTGTGAACGGATCTCTATACAGTGCACAGTTTGTATTCTATTGAATAGAAACTCCCTGCTGAATTCGTAGCTGCAAATTCCATCCTGGTTACAGATGATATCAGTCGCATGCCTTGTAAAGCCATGTTGGCAGGCTGCTGCACCTTTACAAATAGCCGCTAAAGTTATGCACAATGTGATAAGCAGGCCACCGCTCAGAGGCGCTGGGTTCCAGGAATGAAGATTAATATTTTCAGCATGAGTGGTATTGTTACAATTGATTTGAATGTTAGTTGAAGGCTGGCTATCCCTGGACCTAAACAGAGATACGATAAACCAGATTGGTATTATCATGATTACCATCATGAAATACGCAATCAATGCTACACTTACAATAGCACCCACCGGCCAGCAGTGGGGATTGCCTAATAATGATGGACTGAATAGTGAATTTGATTTTGAGCAAAACTCAGGGTTTGCGCAAATAGTTGTAAAGACCATTGGCCCTTCATTGTTGATGTAGTTGATGGTAACGTTGGTTGCATTATGAAGCGGCGAGATAGGCAGCTCATAAGTCATAGCTATGCCATCGCCTACAAACTTGCGACAATCTTCGTTGAAGCATAGCTCGTATGGGTGCGTTTTCCCAGCAATTTCAACTATACCACTATGGCAACTTGGATAATTTGCATAGGATGGCACTGCTAAAGCTAGAATTGCTAGAATTGTAAGTCCCATTTCCACACAACACTACACTTTAGCGACGGAACGTACCTTTTTGAGTTGCCGCCGGCGAGCGTGACGTTTGGTTATTGAGCGACTCTTGAATCGGCTCGACCCTTAATGTGCCCTCGAAAGCCTCCCAAAGTGCAGTACGTGTAGGCTATAGACATATAAACAGAAAAACAAAAGTGCAACGGAAAGAACAGTCGAAAACCGTTTTGAAACAGATTTGATTGGAAATCAGTCTAGTGTGTCCTTCTCCTGTGGACGCATTGTGACATCCACATTTCATCACAACGAGCAGCACTAGAATCTTATTAAACGCCGGTCAAAACAGCGCTAACCTCATATTATGAATAAGCTCACCGCAAAATAGCGTCAAAAGCTGTCTGCCGAGAGTTAACATCCGAACATAATGAAATTCGCGGAGTTTTGAGACTGACTGTTGCACCAGGATGCGAATTTGTGACTACTTTCCCTTGCACACCCTTTCATCCTATCTCAGCTTCCTCATGTGTAACATACCACTTTTAGCACTACGATCACTTCGCGCATAACGTTTGACACCCAGTTAGGCCCGTCATCGTAGGGAAAGGAGGAGAAGCCATCAACAATCCAGCGATTAGTCTGATTTGCTTTCACGTCACCGTTGACGACATCGCATGTTTTGGCATTTTGCACCTCGTGGGACAGGAGCGATTTTGCGACCGCGCCGTCCTCACCTTACTTACGCTTATTTTTTGTTAAAAATGCACAATAACTTGAATTTCATAGGACTATTTCGGCAAGGACGATCGCGCAAAGGTTAAGTACAGGTACAAAAGTTTTCGTTTAGGAAAAGAGCCATAAAACCTACCGAAGAACGTAAACAGAAAACATCACTATTCCGACGATGTCGAAATGAAATTAAAAGCATTTATATCTAAGTACTCCCATCAAATCAAATATATTGAAACTCACAGAGTTTTGTTTCAACTAACTCTAAAATCTTTCATAAGAATATTGACGGCAGTGAAAGTATTATTAAGAAAGAATCGGAACGAAAGTTTTGTGCGTTCGGAAAATCTTTGCTTAATCAAAAGATACTTGACCACTCTAGCTGCCAAGCGGTTTATAGTCATGCTAATGTATTATCTATAGAATGAATACAAACCCGAGAGGAAGGAGCGCAAGCACAATAAATCGTAAGCATAGACCCTGATCGCGGCTTGGCGCCGTCAGGCACTGTCCGATACGGAGAGGTGCACCTGAGAATTTCCTCACTGAGAATCAGCGCGAAATACAGCGCGTACAGCTCTTTCGTTATCACACGAGTGTTAACTCGATCGAATTTTTTGACTGTCATTCAGCCGCTGGAATGTTCACAAAAAAATGACCTGAGAGGCGACGGGACTAGATGTACACAAGGTTCTCACGCCAGCCGGGCATAGCATAGCATATGACCTAAAAGCAATTTCGCCACATGAATAGGCTTAGTTATGAGTTTGAAGAAGGTGGTGGCCAAGGTTGAGTAATTGTAGCGGGCTTGTGCCTGTAACGAGTGGCGCGGTTTGAGTACGCCCACGTGTGGGGCGGAGCACTGATATAACCAGCTTTCCTCCCGGCCCATGATATTGCAAGCATACCATGAAAAGCTGAGTTGGTTTGAAATGGTGCCCAGGGTGCGTAACTTGTAGCGCACTTGCCCGGTAAGCAAGAGGTGCGGGTTCGAGTCCCGTGTGGGGCGGAGTTTTGAATATAACCCAGCAGTCTCGTGAATCATACGAAAGGCGAACTGCTGCCATGAACAGCAGTCGGAAATTAGAGTGATTTTGGAGTCTTTGAAATTTCAAAATTTCAGTGCCTGTCTTCCTCATTTGGCTATTGATTTATGAATCTTAAGTGAATTTGTGCCTTTCCCTATGAGAGAGCTCTTAGAAAAGGGCGTCAAGTAAGTCTGAAGGAATTCGTGATAATTTTTCTGTCCAGTATAATATTTAGAGCGGCAGAAGTTTAAATTGTCTTCAACTCCCGACTCCTGTTACTCTGATTTTTGTCGAAACCATCACCTCACATCACCATTTGGATGGAATTGGTTTCTCATGTTTCTTTTATTGATCAGTTTTCTCTTCTTAAATATTACTTCAATTGGTTTCCTGTTTTCCATTCATTTGTGGCACATCTTCACGAAAGAACTAGGAAAACAGAAGGTTCGAAAGTCACAAATCGGTGCATCTTTTCAAAAATTTCAAGGCTGAAACGTGGAAACGCACCGCATGAACTACAGCAATCGTCAACTAAGAGAGACGATCAAAGGAGATCTTGAGAAGCTAAGAGCAGCAGTATTAGCTGAAGCAGCAGAGGCTGGGAGGAGCATCCGCAATGCCCGCCGAAGCTTTGCCAGCTACAAGACCAAGATGACCTGCCTCCGACGTCCTGGATGGAAAGTTACCGCATCCTGAAGTGTATTGAACAATGTCGCCCACGTGTCGTACTTCTGCTCTGATATGCCAGGTCCACCTGCATGCGCGTCACCGCTGGATGATCCTTCCTTCACTTCTTCCTCCAAAATATGCCGAACATAGGCGTAACGTAGCTTGCTTATAATTACTGATATGTTGAAAATGTTTTAAATGGGTAAGGAACAAAATTTCAGGGTGGCACCCACCGGTAGATGCCATTGTCGCCAAAGGGTTTCAAGGATCAAGGATCTGATGAAATAGCCCATCATACGCGACCTGTTCGTCAAGCACGAAGAAATGACAACGCGAGGACCCTTTCGTGCGAGTAAAGAAACCAGGGGAACTCGAGAGGCCAACCCAGTTTGGCTTCTCTTTCATAGCTATTCCTCCAAAAACAAGAGGTATGGAAACGTAGTGAAAAAAATCGCTGTAAACAACCTGCACGTCAGTTCCACTGCGGTCAACAATGCATTTAAGGGATAGAACGGAGATTTACCAACAACACCATCTAATCGCAGCCAGTTGTGAAGATCGAGTAGGATATGCCAGCCTCCGACGCAGCTTTGAGGGCCGGTGTCAGACTTTGTGAACCGCTGGTGCAATGCTCGTACCCAGCGCTCCGTTAGCGAATCGTAGGCTACCAGCGTTGCATTAGCTGTGACTCAACCTAGAACCTTATTTCGTGATTCTTCAAAAGGAGAGTGGACGAACAGTTTTGATGAGATTCAGAACCACTTGTTTTCGAAAAGGCATCTCCCTTGCATTTCAACTTCTTCTTTGCCGAATGTATCTTCCACTCCAACAGCTACCAACAACAGAGTGACAGTGCTGCAGTTCCCTGTGCGCTGGATCGGCAAATCGGCGTTTGAGCTAGAACACTAACTAACGAACTATGTCATAAGCACTAAACAACAGTTTTCTAAAGTGCAGTGCGTCAGCGCACGTCGACAAAGGATTGCCAACGAATGAAATAAATTGAAAAAGATTTCAATTGGATCTGATGAAAACGCACTGAAATTAGTTCACGTGTTTACAATCCACTGTACACGAATAAAAAGGAAGGGTGGTGGAGGATTGTGTTCACAATCAAAAATGTTGTTCGTCTTCATACTGCTGTCCTGCCTTCTGGTGAATGCTGGTGCACAGATTAGATGTAAGTATGGCTTCTGTTATCGGTACGCAAATCCTATCACACACTGCTCACCTCCCTCACTGTACCAATCCACACTTCAGGAATGGAAGCGATAATTTTTCAGATAGAAGATGCGGTAACTTAAAAGGAATTGGAGATAGTCTTCTTGAGCTACTTCTGGCAGCATCATACAACTCTGGTAAGTCTTCCTTTCACGAACACATGCTTGACGGTAGAAGTGAGCCACTGTAATGTCCGCATAGTTTCTAGTTTGGTGAGTCCTGCAGATTTTCGCACCCGGATAGGATGCTGTCGAAAGGTGCAAGGCTTACCGTAAGGAGCGGTGGGAGCGTACTACTATCGCAAGAGAAGTAGGAGCTAGTACGCATTAGAATCGTCTAGCTCATAGAAACTTATTCAGCGATGATTTCGCAAGATAACAGAGGTGCTTGACATCCATTTAAGAGTTTTTGGGATTATGCCGTGGCACAACAAGGGGAGATTTCTTTCACATGGTGTAGTCTTGATAATACATTTAATACAATTTTCAAGCCAGTGTTCGAACCCAAAGCTTTATTTTCAGATTTGGGATCTAGGACTGGTGAGAAGGTCTTGGGGGACAATGCGAAACTCGTCGATCGAAGTGCCAGGCGCCTTCAAACTCTACACTACAAAGTTTGTTTGCTTTATCGTACTTCAACAGTTATGCCCTGCGCGGTATTGCACGCACAACACAGTTTCGATTGCAACGTGTGACCAACAATAAGCAAGCAAAGTTCTCGAATTTGCCGCCACCCACTATAAGCATTCAGTCAGACTTTCTTCAAAAGCCTCTGTCGATCTCTTTACGATCTCTACCTTTACCGTTTTGTTTTGGAACGACTTATAGGATTCTTTTAGCAAATTCTGCCTTTCCACTGCGCGCCCCACCCACTTTGCATGGGGCTTCTGCTCACCAGGTAGAGATGGAAGATTGAAGTGGCCGTTTGAGGCAGAATGCATCATACGTCGTACGTCTTGAGCAAATCCGTCTTTCACATTGCGGCGCACATCATTTACATTGGTTCGTAGTTATTGTGGAAAGAAGCACGCTATTACCCATTGGAAAGGATTCCTAGGCTGGATTCGTAACTCGATGGGCGTCAAACGGTTAGAGAGTCAAAATATACTGTGAAAACCAAGTGTTCAAGTACTCCGCATGTTTGAGTTTCGTATTTTTCCAAAAATGCTCTCCGCACGTTGATTAAGCGCTTTTTCGTCGTCTTTGAAGTCTGCTTTGGTAAAAATCGATTTCTGCGAGAAACTGAAGGCACTTTCAAAATTTATTGATACATTCGTCCGGCTGTTGTTCCTACGGCTCGCCATTGCAACCAAGTTGGTGGCAAAGACATTAATATTCCTGAAAACCTGTGGAAATAATTGAAGTTTTCAATCATAGATGTGACGTCCAGTTTCTGCTAGCTGCTGTAGATGGACGTCATAATCACAATTTTTCAGTGTAGTTCCTGTAGCACACACTCTAGTCCATCACGACACCTGTTCAGAGTTGCGTTAGAATCTCAGATTCGGCTGAATACTTTTGTGCTATAGCAAGATACGTGAGGGCAGTACAATTTTTTGTTCAAAACGGGACTAGACCCTGGGCGTCAGAGGCGAGACAGGGTGCGTGAGCGACAGGGTGCGTGAGCAATCTCCATATTTCCCGAAGTTTCTGCCCACTCCAAGGCTTGGTGTTTGGTGCTCCCTCATCTTGTAATAGCACAAGGAGTCTTATGCTGAGTGATCCACCTTCTGAAAACGAATTTTATATTTCATTTCGGAGGCAGGATCCTTTGTTAGCTCCAATTTGGTTAGTTCGTACCCATAACGGATAGCCGAAAGGAGGAGGGTGAGGCTCAACTGCCGTCGAATGGCCCTAGCGTCAAGAACAAATACTATATTTGGTTTAAGGAGGTCAAGTTACCCACGGCGAAGTGATGTGGTGGTGTGTCCTATGAGCTACAGGGAATTCTGTTGGGAAGCTCTGGTAATGGCGTCCATTAAAAGCAATACCAGCCATCCATTTATGGTTGAAACCTTCAACAGGCTCTTGGACAGTTTCGGGAAAAACAATTCCTTGTTGGTCCATTTGGCTGTATGTGCCGTAGGAACTAGCCGCCAGACGAGACCATCAGTGAATCTTCCATCTTCGATAAGCTTTTATTCTCTTATGGTCAGAGAAATTGGTTTCCATCAAGATTATTTCTAGACCATGCCAAAATGCCGTGAAAACATGTAGAGGACATTTCTGAGAGTAACGCAAAATTCGCATCGGCGGTGAAAGACACTTGGCTTTCACACCTAACCCGCTAATTGTTCGCCTAGGCTCCTTCATTAGTCATGATATCTCAAACCTAGGCATCCTTCATCCGCCAGTGAAGTCCATAGTATGAATAACAGCGTGCTTCTCTCTACAGTGACTTCCAAGCTCATTAACCTTGTCTAGAGATTTGTGCAGCACATTTGGAAGGCAAGTCTGGAAGCAAAGACGCATCGGGCAATGAAGATCTCAGCTCAAACAGCCACTTCGAGTTGCGCTATCTTTCTGCTTAGCTGGTGGCTGCTCCGAGCACGTTGGCCTATGTCCCTCACTTCCCAAGCTTGACCTGGTCTCTAGGGTTGACTTTTCGTGTGACACCGAATCTCCGTGCACTTACATAGCGTACTTAGCCGATTGTATGCACACATAATAGAAGGATGGAGCGAAAATGTGTAGTGGCAAGTGGCGATGCTTGCTTAGCGTGTGGATCGCCTTATCTTGGATCGTGTCAACCAAGCATCCCATCCCTCGTGGGTCGGTTAGATGCACTAATCTAGAAGGATAAATATGTATAATACAACTGCAGACTGACTTGTACATCGGCTGGCCCCCGCAACTCATTGAATCGAATAGATGGCATTCAAATTGTCACCACGATGCGGATATAAGAAGAATGCGTGGCGCATCCCAGAACGGGATTTCAACTCCGAATGCTTCGCCTTTTTTTTAAATAGTAGTATAGGTTCTATCAAATGAGACGTTGATTAAGGTATTTCGCCGATCCAAATAACCCGTCAATGATGGACAAAATGAGAGAAGCTGTGAAAGGATACGGGCTTTTCTTAACCAAGGTGAGACATTGAGATAAATTAATTCTTAAAAACATGGATTTCATACGAACGGTGAAAAGCCATCAATGCTCAAGGTGCAATATTGTTAGCATGTCAACACAACATTTCCTCAAAGGCAAACATGAAAATATGAATAAACATGTGTTCAAAGCGGAATTCCTTGTTGCTCCAACTTTTCTCCGAATGTAAAAAGAAATGGCCCGCCCTGGAGATGACCACGCACTTTCGTAAATGAAGGATATTTCGGACGAATACAATGCGTTTCATAACTATAATGTCACCGTAAAATTTCGCATTTCCTGGAACAAGCAGCCAACTGGTGATTTTTCCACTATCACCAAATGATTCCTCACTATGAATAACCCCTGTATCGCAATTTTGGTGGGAGCAGCTTTTCTTCGAACTTTTTTGTTATTTTTGGATTTTTGCACCGTTCCATAATTAAACGATCACAATGAGCAATGGAACAACTTGATAAGATTAATGGCAGAAAGAGAGCTAGTAATCTATGGTTACTCATCTTTTTAAAGGAGGAATTCACGATTAGAATGAAGGTCGAAGAAAGGGAAACTGACCTAGTTGAGGGACCCACGGACCTCCTGAGGGTGCGAACTGACGCGCAATTCGCATGGAAAAATTTGACCTCGGCGACCTATCATGCCTCAAAGCTGGCGGGTCCGGCGATCTCCGCCCACCGATCATCTGATCACTCGCCGTAGTTCAATACGTGGCGAGTGATTAGATAGCTGAGAGAGCGTAGTGTTGAAGAGGGCACAGCGATGAGAGTCGCATCAATGCTCAAATCAACGGGCAAGGAAGGGGTCCCATTTCTCGGGTTCTGGGCCGTTTCTCATGGTTCTTCCTTCTTTCGTGTACCACTCACCATCCCTAGGTTAATTTGAAATGGGTTGCTTTTTCATCGTGAATTCGTCCTTTAAGGCAACATGAAATGCCCTGAAACAGAAGTTCCAAGAGAAATGACCATCAATTCACTATGGTGCTTTGAGGGCTGCTTTTTCGACTCTTTTGTATTAGCGAGCGTTGAAGTGAACTAGTCATTTTTGCAAGTCATGGCCGAAAGTGTTTTTTTCACATCGGCTGTCTGCATTAACCCATGTCAACCGAATATACTCAGCGACGTTATTATACTGTGTGGAGCTATTGTGACGTCTCCTTGTCCAATCTCTTTCAAAGTTTGAGGATTGGAGTTGTGCCTCCACGTTATGTCCAGCAAACCTCAAGACTCTTTTTTTGCTTCCTGACAATGCTTCATTTCACCCCTCTGCAGTTCCAAATTTTCAACATCGAAACAGCTAAGTAAAAGCGATTTTTTACAAGAAGGAGTGCTGCTCGGAATAGCCTTCATAAAGGTTTTGTAATCACACAAGTTTGACGTCCGATGAATCTTGGCATGTGCTCCTGTCTCATCTTGGCTTGCAGCTTCTAGCGAACGCATTACATGGTCTCCTTTTCTAATCATCGCTATTAACCTTACGAAAGCGTACAACACTTGTGGAATATCTTGTGGAGAAAGGCTGTCGTGACTTGTCTTTCACGACGCAAGGGGGACTCCCACCCCCACCTCCCGTCCTCCCCTACCCGACCCCGTGCTTCGAGTGAATGACCCGGCAACCGAACCGAATAGTTGTGAAAATAAGCATTGGAACGACCTTTTGCCATTAACACCTTATTGACTAAGCCTTCATGTATTCAACGAACACATTAACAATATAAAAATGTGACGAATACCTACTTCCAAGATAACAGAGCGATAGGCTGAGCCCGGTCGAAACGCTGAGGACGAGCAGGGTAGTCGGAAGGAGAGGGGGAGTCGGCCGTCCGGGACGCCGGAGACGAGACGAATGAAAAAATGAATGCTGTTTTTGGAAGCGCGCGCACTTTGGCGCGAAAAAGGGTTTTGGCGCTCATTGACATGGCTTGACACGTTTGACATGTTGAGTCCACATTGGCCCTGGAGCACACTATTTTTCTAGTCGACCAGAGGGAGTTCGGTCACGACAAGACAGGAACTGTTCAAATATTATAAATGGTGCCAGGTATTTCCCGAACTGCTTTGCAATGGCTCAACAACTGAGCCGAGCATCACGAAATGCATCAATCTATGTCTTTTCTTCAGAAGACGATCACGAAACATTCCAGAACTTAACACGTTGACGACATCGCGTGTTTTGGCATTTTGCACCGCGTGGGACAGGAGCGATTTTGCGAGCGCGCCGTCCTCACCTTACTTCCGCTTATTTTTTGTTAAAATGCACAACAACTTGAATCTCATAGAATTATTTCGGCAAGGATGAAAGCATAAAGGTTAACTATATAAATAGCAGTAGATTTTTGTTTAGAAGAACGCATAATGACCACGAAGAAGCAAAAAACATCACTTTCGCTGCGAATGAAGTTAAAAGCATTTATACCTAAGTTCTTCCATCAAATACAAATATCTTGAAACTCACAGAGTTTTGTATTAACTGCTTCTACAATCTTTCATATGAATGTTTACGACAGTGAAAGGAATACTAGGAAAGAATTGAATGAAAGTTTTGTGCGTTCAGAAAATCTTTGCTAAATCAAGGGATATTTGACCACTCTGGCTGCCATGTGGTTTATAGTTATGCTAATGTATTATCTATAGAATGAATACAAAAAACTCGAGAAGAAGGAGCGCAAGCACAATAAATGAATTATATAGTTCTGACGCGCATGCGCGTCAGAATGTCCGATGCGGTGCAAAAGTTCTGACGCGTCAGCCTGTCGTCAACGTGTTAGGTTCATGGATGTGTTTAGAGCAAATGTTCAGTTTCACAACCAAATTTTTTGTTCCTCATAACCTAATAATGGGTTGGTGATACTACATGTAATACTAGAATGATCTTCAGGTGGCTGCGCGCTCCGTAAAAATTTCGTGTTCCATGTCCTAACTTTTTTATTTTTTTATTTTTATTTTTATTTGTAATGGCAACTTCAGTATTGAACTAATGGTATGTTCCTCGTCAGAAATGCCTCATACCTTTCTCAGAATTAGGCGCACTTACTACGAGCTGCAAATTTCTGAGTGTTGAATATTAATCACGTATCTGTCGCTCATTGCGACGGCTTCATCTATCAGTCAAGATTTTTTTTTGCGGTGCCAATTTTCGTTTGTGGAGAGCAGCGAATTAGGGCGGCACTAGACTGGCCACTCGGTCCCTGACATTATGTAGATTTTGGAGCTTCTTCAGGTTAACTCTAATTTATACTTCATACCTTGACTGTTGATAGATTTTGCTTGTCAATTTTATAATTTTTGATGAATTCCTTTATTTATTTATTCAGATCGAGCAACTGCCTGCATGGGTGCAGTTTGGATGCAACTGCAGGACGGAAAATCAGAAAGTTCTGGAAATGGCGTGCTTCTTCAAAACACAGCCACCTGTTTTGAATTGGTTCTCTAAGTAAACTTACTTCACAAATTTTTCCATCCATCAGTTCTCTTCCAAAGAGAGAATCATAGATAAAGTTTTGCTGAAGCAGATATCTTTTTATTTTCAACACAGGCTTTAAACGAAAAAGCACTATCAATCCATATCAGCCGCAGCACAGCTGGCGATGGGCAATGGATGGGTAACCTGCTACGAAAGTGTTCTTCACGATAAGTAACGACGGTAGACAAATTTTCTTGTCGATTCGCGGAGAGTGTGGGACCGTGTCAGTCCTCAGTCCTGGAACTGTGAAACGATTACTCGGAAGAATTATTTCTTCAAAAAACTCCGTCTTTTCAAACAGCCTTTAAAAGATGTTGCCGTGAAACCTTCTGAAATTTAGGGGAATATTGGAAGAAAAAGACTGGTGATTTTGATAATATTGGCGCTTCATTCAGAGAGGAATTGAATGCACGGGACCAAGAGTAGCGTTTTGTTAGTATGACAGCACGTCATCTCTCCGCGTCATGCAGACTCCGCCTATACGCTGATCAGGCCACAGGATGATCCGATAAAATTGTGATGGACTTCGAGGCAGGGTCAACCCTACGTTGGGACAAGTACCAACGGGGGGTCGTAGTTTGTTGAGCTTGTGGTGGTGGGGGCGCCGTACTAGTAGCTTCGGTAGCATAGAATTGGATGTAAAGAGGTGAGAGCGTGGGGTAGAAAATTTGGGGTACCCCCCAGGAGGCCCGTCGCGCGGCAAGAAGGCCGAGTCAGCGGACGAGTCGCGCGCGTATTAGGGATTTCGCGTCAAGTTAAATAGAATGTCCCATTGCACGTCCTACATCGCACATCACGCGCTGCGACTCGTCCGCCGACTCTGCCTTCTTGCCGCGCGATGGGCCTCCTGGGGGGTACCCGAAAATTTGCCGTTCCTGCGCGCGTATACACCCCCTCCCCCTAAGAAAATGTTGTGGTGTAAATATAGGTGAAATAGAGTGACCCCCCTTCATAAAAGATTTCATACGACCTCCCCCTAAGGGGGTCGTGTGAAATCTCCCATGAAGGAGGGGGTCGTAAAAAATTTTCAAAAGACCCAACGGTAGGATTGACCCTTCCTCGAAGTGCAGGGCGAGCCAGTGCGAGGAGGCCCAAAGAAGAGGTTGAGAGACGCAATAATGAAGGACTTGGGTGAGGTTACGGCCTTGGCAGGATAGAGCAAAGGATACCCCGCTCCTGACGTTTCAAGAAAACTTTCTTCTGCAGAACCTTGGCTAGTACCCAAGACCTTGCAGACTTGTCCCTCGTAAAATCAGATGCTGATTTTCCCTATCTTCTTTTATAATAATACAAAGAAAGGTTACCGCTGAGAAGTCTTCAAAAAGGAAGTTCATGTGCAAGTTTTCAGTCACTCTGCTCTCACTCATTGCAGTAATTTCGAATAAGTATGTTCCTGCGCAGCGAACTGTGGATAAGTACCTCCTTTAGTAAATAACACATAAAATAACTCAACTTTCAAAAATATAATGTTTAGAAAGTGCTTACAAAGGACATAATGTTGATCCAACAGCTATTGGTTCTCTGTGCACTATCCTTACAACAGACCTCACTACTATTTGAAAAATCACAAATGGCTTTCTGTGCTGGGTGCCGTTCTGGCCCAACAAGAGTCTGAATTCTCGACGGAAACTGAACTGGAGTGGTTCACCCTTTCTAGAACGTTACTCGAACAGTTCACGCGAGATCTTATCGTTAGTAAATGAAAAGAAGAAAAATGTTAGTTGCCCTATTGCCCCAATTCGCCTTTCCCTGTGCAAGACAGCTCTAGCTTCACAGCGCTGTGCCTCTTACATCCAAATCTTTGTGCTAATTTTTCTAATGTCCATTAAATCACGTCGGAGAAGAATGAAAAATCAATTGGACATCTGCCTCTTAAAGAGGTCGCCTTTGACTGCACCTCGCCTGCCCTACCTAATCTTAGTTACCATGACTTCAATTTGTTCCATGTTCATGTGCAAAAAAAAACAAATATCCGAATCTCTTCGGCTGCTTAAGCTCTTCCCGACAATGCATACTTTAATTTAAAGTTGACTTTTCCTCCTTCAGAACTATATATGAAACTTCTAGAAAAATCTTCATGTGACGACGTTTCGGTCTTAAGCCTTTCGGTAGAACTTCAATGTTGGCTTCTTCTTCGTCTTCTTCTCCCTAGCGTTAATTTCACGGAGTCTTCACCCTGTACGACGAAAAGTTCGATGATGTTCGCTATGGGCTAAGTGTCTCCTTTTTTTGGCCACCCCTGTATATCCCATTCTTCACGAGTTTGTGGGTACGTGAACACTGTCATGTTGTCGCATCGGGATTGCTCTTGAAAACAACGATAGACTGTCCAAATCTCTTTTTCAAATGAAGCGTGATTGCCAGAGAGTTTTGGCGCGTGAACCGTCGGAGAACAGAGAACCATTTCCTGAGTAGAGTGAAATGCCGGTGCATTGGATTGACGGAGCGTGCCCTCTCCTAGCTGAATTTCCATGAAGCTTGATTTTTGAAGGATCCGAATCGGTGGTCCTTGAAAAAGGGCCCAGGAAGAGGTTCTAAACAGGTCCGAATTCTAGCTAGACAAAGCCAACAAATGAGGTGACTACCTTCTCGAGCAGGTGAGTGTATGTGCTACGTCGCAAGGCAGGTTGTAAAGCTTCGACGACTTGCAAAAGCGTTCTGCAGAAAATGGCTCAGAAACTGAGAGGGAACCTAATATTATCTGACGAAAAGATTAACAGGTACTAAGGGTGTCGTATAGTCGGTCTACCATGCAGCAGCAGCACTTATCGGGAGCGCTTCACAAGGAAACACAGCGCTAGGATCTGTTCACACACTATCGATGGATTACGACCCTGCACTTTAGCCGAACACGATCTTACAGCCAAATGTACGACTGTTGCCACAGCTTTCATCAAATATTGGGTTGTTCCATAACCCTTGGCCGATTTTTGTTCAAAATCAATTATCTTCATGTCAAATTAGCCTCATCATGAAATAAGTTGACATACTGAAGAACACCAGCTGGGATGTTTCAGAAGCTCAAATGCGCGTGGGATAATTAAGTAGGAATCGAAATAGATCAACGACCAAACCCAACGATTATGCCTTACGACAATTTAAGAAGAACCTTGCAAGGAGCGCGGTAGGCAAGATCAGCGCTACGTTTGCCCCAGTCTTTGCTACTGATCGGGCACTGAGCTATTGGCTCAATAGCATCGGCAAAGCGATAGGAGCTGCAAAGTTCGACCTCATCATGGACCTCCAGTCACTTTCGATGAGGACCCCTTGCGCTACGAATAGGAAGTGCATCCGGACGCTATTAGCAGGAAACTGTAGCAAACATTTGGAAGCCTCTAGCAAACATCTGGACGCAGCCCACGCTCCATGAATCTCCACCTGAATAGAAGAAGCTGTAGCGGAAAGTTCTGATGGAAACACCGGAATGGACTGACCATGGCTCAGAAGCACGCCTGATCATCTGCAGGTTCCATCTGCGACCGTAGTCACCGGTGCAGATGGTCACGAGTCTACCACGATAACAACCCGCGGCACGCCTGGTGGCTACCTCGCAGCCTGGATCACCATCTCAACCAAAGCCGAGCTCTTTCATCAGAGATATTACCCCGGTTTGTTGGATTCGCTGGGTATCCCGTTTTGAGAACCACTTCACTTTATGCAGACAAGCATTGCGAAGGTGACCATGAAATAACTCCCGAAGTTGGCCGCAGCAGTACGGCAGAACAGCTCGAGTCGTCTCGAAATCGAGGTCGGCGAAAGAAAAGAGGCCATGGGATGATATCCTTGATGAAAGAGCTCGGGCTTTGGTTGAGATCGTGGGTCCAACCTGCAAGATAGGTCTAGACGTGCCGCGGCTTGTTATCGTGGTAGACTCGTAACTCATCTGCACCGGTAACCAACTAGGTTATACCTCGACTATACGGTCGTAGAGTATGATCCACAATATTTTCACTAGAGATAGACTTTTTTCAGATAGTGTTGAGCAAGTACAGAGACAAGCTTCAAGCCACTATCATCACCAAAATGACTCGAAGTGAAGAGGAAATTCGACGAAAATTGAAGCGACTCACCTAGTTTTGCGGAGACACCAAACAATGTGGGCAAAAATTCATTCACGGGAAGGCACCTTATTGTATTCTCCAATATTTAAGATAAGAATGAGGGCGCTCATGACGCGTAATCAGAGCTCATTGAAAATATAATTTTGATAATTACCGATGTAGTGTGGGAGTGATTCTGAGGTGCTTCCACATTTTGGCCTGCAGATTTTGAGGAAACGATCCTGAAACAGGGGAATGGAGAGCTTTACTTCGGCCTGACAATAAAGTTGGAGGAGCTCTAAGGTGGATGATACGGTGAAGCATATTGAAAACGATATGGACAGGATGTGTGGAATGGAGGACAGTTCTTCAGAAGTGCACTTCAAATGATCGGTTCACATATTATCTGATCCTTAGTGTTAGGGA